ATCAAGTATTCAGTAAAGAGAAAGTGTTCATTGTCTCGAAAAATTGTGTTTTTTTGCAAGATTTTTTGTAGGAAATGCGACTTCGTCATTTTAGGAAAAGCTTATTCCTATACTGAATTTTGTAGAAATCAGGGTATTTTATCAAAATCAAGAATATAGTTGACACCCCAAGTTCCTTGTTCGAAGTAGCCCCTATCTGAATCACTATGTATATTCCACATTTTGTCTCTGTAGTTTTATTTTTTTTAGGGCAGTGGCTTTTTTTGTATGTGTCTGTTATGCAATGACAAAGTAGATGACAGCACAAGTCAATTGTACAGGATATGCCCATATGTTCTATATGGCAGTTGATTCAATTTTGCACGTCTCAATAGCTTTAATACGTTGTGCCCTTGTGAAGTAGACACTTTTTCTGAAGCCTTTTCTTCAACAGAAAAAAAAGGTGGCGGCACAACTTGATGTTCAAATATGTCGAATGGTACGATTGAGGTACCACATGATCTGGTATATTCCATTTTATGCATCTCCCGCGCGTTTCCTTCCCAATTTATTTATTTTTTCTCGCTGAATGTTGATTTATGGTCGACTGTGGAAAAATCCCGATGGCTCTGGCCTCGTAAAAGTGTTGACGATCTTTCTCGTATATAGTGGAACAACGTTGGGGGGTGAATCCCCTCATCTACCCATGAGGCATGCAAATCAACAAGGGCGGAAGTGGGAGACGTGACTCTGCTCACTGACGCCAGTACGGGAGGCTAGAGGAAATCAGCAGAAATTCACCAATAATATGTATTTAATTTATTTATTCATATTAAATCGATTAAATTATTTTATTAAATTGATTACATTATTTTATTAAATTGATTACATTATTTCATTAAATTGATTACATTATTTCATTAAATTGATTAAATTATTTTATTAAATTGATTACATTATTTTATTAAATTGATTACATTATTTTATTTAATTTTTATACTGTTTTTATAAATCTCTTCCTGTTATGTTTTCGTAAAAAATTGCTGCAACCTATGAAGAGACATCAAGGTTGTAACACACACGCTGTAACACAAGCACTGTTTAAATTGCAATTTTTTTTTATTCATAAAGCTCTTCTTAATATTTTTGTAAAAAAAATTTCTGCTACAATCTTTAGACTGGGAGTGCAGCAGAAGTTCACCACTAATATAAACGGTATTTAAAAATATTTAAAAATCAGCGGGAAAAAATAAGTTTGGTAACTCTGGGGGTGGCTGGCCCCCATTGTTGAAAAAAGTGGTGGTCAACATTCCCCAACAGCTTAAGCCTGCTTATATAAGCCTCTCGCGTGCTTTTCGTACTGGTTGATTTTCCGTATACGCCGCCAGTACAATACTGTACGTACAGTACAATAAATTCACCTTGAAGTTTTAACTGGAAGCAATGTTTCCTCCCCGAAACGTCTTTTCATCCATAAAAAAAGAAAGAACCAGTGATTACGTAAGACTGCCGGAATGCGATTCAATTGATTAGAAAGTAATTTGTCTCTCCTATCCTCGGGAAAATCAGTCTCGCCATCAGTTCTGACTCTTCTAAGATTTACAGTAGATTGAACATCCGAAGTTCTCTTTGCGTGAAGAACTTTTAGTTCATGCTCTCGCATCCAGTAACTCTTCAAAAAGGACTTGATATTTCTTTGAAGTCAAAGCGAGACTGATTTTCCCGAGACATGATGAGAGACTATTTTTTCAGTAAGCTCTAATTAAACCACTGAAATCAATGCGTTCCGTACCAGAAAAAAAAAGTATCAGTGATTACGTAAGACTGGCGGATCGAATGCATTGATTCGATTGATTAGAAAGTAATTTGTCTCTCCTATCCTCGGGAAAATCAGTCCCGCCATCAGTTCAGAGATATACAGTAGATTGAAAATTCGAAGTTCTCTTTGCGTGAAGAGTTTTTAGTTCATGATCTCGCATCCAGTAAATCTTCAAAAAAAAAACGTAATATTTCTCTGAACTCACAGCGAGACTAATTTTCCCGAGACATGACTATTTTTTCAGTACGCTCTAATCGAACACAGAAATCAATGCGTTCCATGCGTATTACGTAATCACACCCATTCTGTGCAGTTTTATATTGAAATACCATTGGGTGCGTGCCCTTCGTGAATCGAAAAATGCACACGAATCAAATCGCATTGATTACGATTGATAATAAGTCATTGTTGAAATATCATTGAATGTTGCACGGAGAAAAGATGTTTATTGAAAAACAGTAGTGTTTTAATGCGGAACAGGCGAACAAAAAAATTAAAAGAGCTTACAAAATAACTACATCTGTTTCTTTCGACAGATTTTGCTTACGCGATTTTAAAAATTTTGGTTAGAATTGACGACGTAGGATTTTTAATCAGAGGTTATTTTAAAGTAGAAGTTAGGATTTTAAAACATCGCAAATTTGATGCAATCAAAGGAATGGAGACATTTAACTTTTCAAGTCGAAGAAACTTTGAGAAGACCTGGTATCAAAAGTTTGGGAGAATGAATTAGCAGATGACTGTGATAATCAAATGGAACATATGTGTAAAATGATGCTTTGTTACTTGAGGAATATACAGTGTGGAAATAATTTTCTTGATCATCTTTCCTATCCGTGCATTTTACCAAATCTTTTTCAGAAATCTTAAAAGAATTCTGCATTTTTTAAAGGGGAATTGGAGATTTTATCATGTTTAATGGTACAGTACTTGTGTGTGCCTTTTTTGAATTTTCTTTTAGATTTTTTGGGCTTCAGAATATGGATCATTAATTATCAGAACAAACTTAAAGCTAAAATTCATGATTCAGTCAGACCACACTTTTGATACAGCCGAGTATTGTTCAATAATTTTAAATATCTGTTGATGAATACTGGAATTAAAACAATAAAAGGGCCGATGATACTCGTTTTTCCTTACCTTCGATTTCTTTGAAAGGTAAGAAAAATTTGATCGTTAATTTCAGAGCTGCGGTTTTCTTACATGGCGACATGTTAGATTTTTTAATGCAAACTTAAAAAAAGTAAATACAGTGTCGTTTCAAGTCTTGAATTTTCAACAGCCACACTTTCTTCAAATGTCAAGGTTCATTCATTTTTCAGGTTTGCAGCCGGTTCCTTGGAAGTATGTGCATACACAAATACGAGAAGCCCATAGTATCGTTTCAAAATTTTGAGAACCTTTCAGGAAGCTTTTACATTTTTACACCTGTTCCTCATATTCAAAAAAATATAACTTTCTTGGACCCCTCTCGATAATAATTTAGTAGATGGGCCAGAAAAGTGGTTTTCCAGCTGCAATTATGAAATGCTTCCACCAGAAGCTACGATGAGTTCTCGCACATTTCTGAAGCGAGTCTTCTATATAGTGGTACGGTACCCGAACATTTTAAAAGAAAAACAAAAACGAAAAACAAAAGGGTAATGTTGCATATTAACAAAATAACCGACAAGGAATGTCAATTTCATTTCCTCCGGTTATACATGGCTCAAATACACCGAAACTCTGACATTGAAGTCGTATACGATATTCGCAAAATTATCTCATACTCCGATAATTAAAAATAAAAATAATCGTGCTGAACTGCATCATCATCTATATGTACATGTGTGACGTTTCCGACTTCGTACTATACAAGACAATTATCTATTCCGCGGAGCATGTCAATGCGGCATTCATTAGCTTACCATTTCGAACTTCGAAACTTATACAGTTCTTTAAGCCCCCAACTAATTTAGAAAGTGAAATCCATTCCGGGGTAGTTTGACCCAGGCTGGAAATCAACGCCAGGGACCCCTGTCGAATTGCTTTGATTGTCCCCAGATCCTGGTTGCTCTCCATTCGACTGGTTTCTCTTCCAACTATCTTCACCCGTTCTGCTGCCGGGTTGACCATTTTTGCAACCAGTTCCTGTAAACAATTTTTGTTTTTGAGAACATTAAATTATATGAAGTCATAGTCATTAAAGGGATAGATTGAAGGGTTGGGAATGGAAGTTGAAGCAATATGAGTGGGAAGAACCAGTCTGCAGAGTCTTCAACCATGCCTGAAAAATCATGCTTTTAAAAATACCCATGGTACTCTGACATGATGTGTTTATCAGCAATTTCACTCAGTTGCAGGGACAACTGCATGTATGATGAAACATAGCCTCTGATTTTATCTCATTTAGGTATTTCACCTTATATAGAAATGCAAGGATTTGATTCAAATATTCTTTCTTCAAGGTTTTTTTTTAATTCCCTAGCTATAAATTTCATGCAGGCAATTATTTCTGTTTATTGTAGTATATACGTTTTTATTATAAAAACTAATAATCCAGCATAAAATGAACTTTTAAAAGACCCCTTTTGAAAATAGAAAGAGAAGCAACATCCACAGCAGGGGTTTCAAGAAGTATGGTACAGGTGATAGTTTGCAATTTGACCTTCCCACGATTTGACAGACAAATTTGCAGGGAGGTTGACTTGCAATTGAACCCTTGCCCTGCAATTTGACCTGCTCTGGCCAATTTTTTGTTGTTGGGTTTTTGTACTTTTATTTTTGAATTTTGTGGAGTGTCTCGCAATTTGACCAATTTGCAATTCAGCCCTAGGCAATGGATTAGGGTCAGATTGCAAGGCACCACCTGTAATTTCATTTGTTAGCCTTAATTATCAAATGCCACTGAACAAGGCTACTTATTTTTGGTCCACATTAAATATAGTGAATTCACGGTATTTACACAAGTACACATTTATCCAGGAAAAACAAATTTATACAGAAAGGTAGGTGGGGTGCACAGCAGACATATTTATTTATAGAAAAAACGGTGGTATCAAGTCTATGAAGAAAATTATGAACTAGTTTTAATGAATAGATGATTTAAAAAATCACTTTCTCTTGGAGCCAGGAGTTCTTGTCCATAAGCCACAATCCCCCATGCAAAAATTATTAGTTGATAGGAAAAATGAAATTCTTGGCCAGCAAAAATTGGTTTGGTGTACAGAAAAGTACAGAACATGGAGACAAGGCTATTTTGTAAACATACAAAAATCCAAAAGATGCATTGTCTTACTTAAAGGTACACTTTACCCAGGTAAATATATAATCTTTCAGAGTTGAAGAAAACAAATTATGTCAAAGGGGCTAAAATGGCAAAATACTAGCAATTCAAAAGCTTATTTCAAGATACTGTTTAGTAGGATTCTTTCAGGACATCCAAACATGAATAATCATGCAATTCTTCTTTGAGTGAGTAAATTTGAACTTTTCAAGTATAGGCCGCAACACAGCCTATTACCTTTAATCTTAATTTGGAAGTTTGTGAAAGTTTCAAAAGATTTTGCAATGTGCTAGGGGAAATGAACAGTATTTCCTGTATTTAACCCTCAGAGAGCGGAGGGTTCTTTCCCATAGCAGGACAAAATCAGATTATTTTTGTACGCTCCCTCATTTTAAATTTTTAGAAGGTCAGGAAAACCCTTCCAGGTGGGCTGAGGCAAAGTTGGGATTAATCCCAGAAAAGCTGGTAGTCCCTGAGCATTTTTTTAATTTTCCAGAAAAATTTTTCTGCCCCCAGGGAAAAAAGCGTTGGGATTTTTCCCGACTTCGCCCTTCACCACCTGTTTTCATCATTTTCTTGACATCTCTGAGGTGCAACAAAATTTTGCGAAAATAGTCAGACTTTGCTGCCCATAACCGCAACTTTTATAGGTTTTCATTCTATTTTCCTGAAATCACCCATCAAAAATCTTGATTTTGCCTATACTATATATATACTGTATTCGGGTAAACACAGCAATTGTCGAACCTTGTCCAGCACAAGCGTGCCTTGAAGAGGAACAATCGCAGGTCAGCAAAGGCACCCAGAAAACATCGCTCATGAGGGTCGAGTAGCTCCCTCCAAAAATGTTTCCTTTGTCTGGAGAATAAACCACAAAAAAGCATTGAATTTTTTTTCAATTTTCACACGTCAGATCCGTTATTGGATTCATTGGAAAGAAAATCAACGTGGAAAATGTGTGCGTACCGGATTTCCACTGCAACTTGGACCTGAAATTCCGGGTCCTTCCGGACCTGAGCAGCTGATGCAACAGCTGAGCCTTTTGGTAACAGACCTCCGAAGCTCTGTCACTGGCCCACTGCTGTTCTCTATTTTGTTTCGAGGTGCCATTTTGTGTTGTATCGTTCCCGAATGACTCGAACGGGTTGTTACCATCTTTCGTCATCCTGGATGAAGTAGTGTTGCCGTCTCTTTCTCCGTGGGCTATGAACTGCCAGTCGTGTCGCATCCACCAGAGCTGAAAAAAATTGATGAAATGGAAATATTTTCGTGAACCTTTTTTGCGTCAACGAAATCAAATGTATATTCACCAAATGCATGATGTTCTTTGCAGCAGTGATGACCTTTGTGTCCGAGGCTATTCGTGACAGAATCTCCGTGTTTGTGTCATTGGTGCCTCCGATTCCAAGTTCGATACCGAAACTCAGGAAAACCAGCGCTTCGAAATCTTCGTTCGTCATTGCCTTTGCTCTGCCACCTTCACTGTGGGATGTAGAAAAATGAGAAATTTTTGAAATAGTTTTTAGTTGTGACCAGAGGCTGGGAGAATGAGTTAACCAATTTATCCTAACAGAAGAGTTTGCTGAATTGTTCATCCATTCACCTTTATGAAATACGTTTATCCTGTTAACTTATGAATTCCTACAAGGAATTTCTGGTCCTGTCCTGGATTGATTGTTGTGCTTTATTGCAACACTCAACATCAACTTATATTGCAGTGACATCTGTCCCCAATATTATCTGCATTCAATTTCTGTATATGAAACAAACAGGCCAGGTCCTTGCATTTTGGCAGTCAAAACATCATTTGATGAAATATTTTGGAGGTTGAACTTGAAATGAGATTTGATCTCAAACATTAAGATACTGCATCTTCAAAAGTGCATTTGGAAGTCTAGGTATACCTTCTGCAATTGACCCTGATAGGGGTTTCCTGCTGGATTCAATTGATAAGCAATCATTTCCTTGTACTACAGAGGTTAGAATTTTAAAGATTTGCAAATTTTATGTGATAAAATGATGGGATATATTTAAATTTTTAAGTGTAAGCAATTTTCAGAATACCAGATATCAAAAGTTTTGATGAATGAATTAGCAGATGAATACAGTGATAATCAAACAAAACATAGATTGTACTGGATGTGTAAAAATGGTGCTTTGTTTCTTCAGTGATGTACACTTGTACAGTATGGAAATTGATACAGTGGCCCCCGCCTAACAGACCTCCCGTGTAAGGGATTTTTGCCAAACAGACCAGCTCTGCAAGCAGTTTTTCCTCCCGCCCAACAGACAAAATCCGCCAAACAGACTTCTTTTGGTTTAAAATTAGTGTTGAAAATTGAAATTTTTAATTTTTTATGTAATTGAATTTGTGTAAAGGACTTTTCATCTAACAGACTCGTCCCTTGCACGAATCAAGTCCGTTAGACGGGGGTTGACTGTATTCTTGATCATTCCTCCTATACAGTATTCAGGTATTTTGCCAAAAGATTCAGAAATTGTCAAAGAAATCTGAAGTTGTTTTAGGGGAACTGGAGATTCTGTAAGAAATGCATCAATCGGATGTACATAGTACTATACACATAATATAGACTTTTTTGAGTTCAAGCCATTTTTTTGCTTGGTAAAATTTTGTTCTGTAGCAGAAGTGACTTATTGCATGCTTGAAAGAATTTTTTCTCCTGTGATGCTTGCAAAAGCCAAGATTTACAAAGCCTTGTACTCCTGCCTCAAACCAAGAAAGAAAAATAAAACCTCAACTTGCACTTTTAAAGCCAATTTTGGACCAGGAAGAAATCATGTGACTCCACAAAAAGCGTCTGCTGTAAAACTTCTCAGTCTTCATTAGTAGCAGAATGACTTTATCAAAAGTTGGGATGAAGTCTATTATTCTCATTACCTAAAATTTTGGAAGGACAATGCCAGTGGAATTACCTGATAAAAACAAAAGTTGGCTTTTTCCCTAAAAACACTTCTGACAAATTTGCACCTCCTGAATTGAGTTATTTTAATTTTTCATTCTAAGAAACGTTTTTTCAAGCCCATCACCTTTCTAATTGTTTGATTACATTCTTAATTGCATTTTTTTGTAAAAACTTGCCCAATAACATTCAAGCAGAACTTGGATGAGTAGTCTTCAAAAATTTTATGAAACTTTGCCAGTCTGCAGAAAATATTTTGGGGATCAGATGGTCAGGAAAAAATTTTGTTTTGCTTGGAAATTTCCTGGTCCATCCGCAGGCCCAAAAAGTTTGGGTAACACTGACCCTAAAGCACTAAGAACATCCATCACTTACACATAAGAAGTGAGCCCTGTGATAAACGTGAAATATGCACTCAGGATCATGGGGGCATTTCCATTCCTTGCCCTGATGGCTATTGATCTCAATTGGTCCAGATCCTTTGACGCAACTACACAGTTGGTCGCATTGGACCCTCCGAATGCAATTTGTTCGAACGCTTGAGCGACATCTTGCAAGGCGTTCCGTAACCCAGGACTAGTGGACGGTGAAGAAGAAGAAGAACCCGTCGGGTTGGGTTCGTCTTTACCGTCGCTCTGGATTGCTCCCAGTACAACGGAACGCATGAATGTGTCCAGGGCTGGGAGTCTGCCTGGACAGACTCTGTCTTGGGACAGGGTGAAGAATTTGGCGAACCCAGATGTGTAATTGCTTTCGGAATCGAGAATTGTCCGAATTTCTTGAGAGAACTTCATTTGCGAGGGTGGACAAAAAAGAGAGAGCAGATTTTTGTAGATTCCAAATTCGGAGAAACGCGAGGTTTGCATGGAAAAAGAGGCCACTCTATAAACGAACAATAGCTTTAAAATTTTTAAATTAATTATAATATTAAAGATACGTACTCAAAGAATACACTATAGTACTTCAAAAGGAGAACTTGCTCAGTTTACTCATGATCTTTGGTTATTTCTCTGGGATTTGCATCGAAATAACGAAGCACATTCCGGCAATTGTATTGCAAAAAATTCGAGCAATTTCTGCGTACGTTTTTGAGATTTCTGTCGTTTTACTGCAGCTTCTTAGCTCAAGCTTTTTTGGAGGGTTTGACGCCAAAAATTTAGATTTTTATTCAAATCTCAATATATTGAAAACTGAAGATAATAATTGAGTCATCCGAGTAGAGATCAATTAAAATGCTTCTGAATCCCTGGCCTCAACATCAGAAAGGGGTTTCTAAAAAAAAAGTCAATTATAACATAGCCATTGAAATTGAGTTCTGTATAAATCCTGCAATTTTTTAAATATTCAAGTCGAGGGAATTCTACTGCTTTTTCTTCGAAGTCCAATAAAATCAATTTTTACAACATGTACCTATAAAGTTACATTAATACTATTATTTTAGAATACGAATGTATTTTTAGTTTTTTACACAGTTAAACAATGCCAGATATAAACTTGAAAAGAACGGATTGAAATATAGAAAATAGCAAACCTGAGTCTCCAACGTAGATTTGGTGTCAAGGAACGCATTGATGAAAGCGGCAGAAAGTGTTGCAAAATTGACACCGTCTTGAGGAGGCTTCAGGTCAACTACGGAGCACCTTTTTTTTTCAAAGAAATAGCATAATTTTGTGTTTCAATCAGATTGTGCTGCGATTTACATTGAAGTAGTGAACTTAGGCCTCTTACATTCCTGCGTTGGACAACACAGACGCAAACGATTGAACAGCTGCGTGGTGTTGAATGAGCTTTTGATTTTCCCAGTCATTGGGATCCAATACCCGAAATCCAGTGGATCCGATTTCAGGCTGAAAATATTGAGAATAATAGAAAACGTTTGAGGGCAGTAAATCATATAATGTACAGTGAAATTTATGGCATACTTCGGATGAAACGTTGAAATTCCTATTTCTGCACATATCAAGAGCCGCACTTTGGAAAATTAATTTCAAATGAAAAACACACTTGGAATGGATTTCTTCTCTTTTCAGTCTCTTTCTTTATACTGTATATCACACCTTGACACATATTGTTGAAATTTTTTTATTTAGAAATTTTTTGAAATTTCACACACGCCGTCAGCGTGTGTGAATTAATTTTCAACAGCGTTTGGGACCATAAATGGAGTCAAATACTTTCAAAATTTCTAGAGAAGAAATATCTTGTCTGACCCAACCTTATTATTGTCTTGTGCGAATCATTTTCAAAATTAATGCAAATGTGACGCATTATTTTGCAGCCACCCCGCAACAAAACGCAGTGAAAAATCTTTTGTTAAATTTGTTGCTGATTTTCAAAACAGTTTCGCTATTAAATTCTTCAAAATACTGCGACCATCACCAATACACTTGACCGGTTAATTTTCAAAATTGAGAACCGCAGGTATTTTTATCCCTTTATTGCATCAGATGAAATAAATCACCTCAAAACTGATGGCTGTTGTTTTGCCACGAGGCCCATCCCCAGATTTCACATAAAGTGGAGCAGGTTTCGAAGTCATTTGATCAATTTCGCCCTGAATTGGCAAACATCGGGTTCCTGGCCTCATCATGGGTTCCTGCATTATTCCTTGTCTACTTCCGTTGCCATACATGCCATTAATATTACCTTCATAATCGGACCCAAAAATACATATAAACATTATTTTATGACTCTGAAAAATTCACCACGTATTTTCTCTTACTTTCGTTGCCCGGAGAAAACGTGGAGCAATCCACGAAGAATGGGTATTTGACGACATTATTAGTGAAGTCCCCATCGACCAAAAGTTGGATTTCCACTACTAATAGCAGTGGACCACATGCGAATTTCGGCAGAATGATTCCAGTGAGATTCAGAATCCTGGACTCATTAACTCGCAGATCTTGACCAAGCAATGAAAAAAAAAATATCGCAGATTATACCAGGGAAAATTAGAGTGGATTATTGGGAGAATTCCAAAGTCTCAACTATTTCAAGAATACTTGCGGAAGTAGAAAATTGCGTCAGATTTTAACCGATTGCTTGAACAATAAAAATCAAACTCGAAGTGATGATATTTTTATCAACGAATTTACGCAAGAATAATATTCATATGCTTTTCTCGAGCACACGCAGATGATTTCAAATTTATTTAACACTTCTTGAAGTAAACTAAGAAAAGTTGATATTTGAATTCATCTCAATAGAGAAAATATAGAAATAAATAAATACGCACTGGTTGATACGCCATTCAACAGCCTTGTTGTGTTGGCGTCGATGAGAATGTCTCCGTCCTTGACATTCAAGCCAGGCAAGCTACCTGATGTATTGCTGAAATTTAAAATGAAATATTTTTGTTGTTGTTACTAAATTCAAGTGGAAGTGTAGTTCTTTTTGGGATGTGAATTTCATCCCTTACCCCATTTCGTTCATCAACCGACGCAGAAAAACACGAACTTTCGGAGCGTGAAGGTTCCGCAAGTCGACGGGCGAAGGGCCGAAATTTGTTATGTTCACACCTGTTTTATTTAAAAAGCAAAAAGTAAAAAAGTACGAGTCAAGGTCTGTGCCAAATTCTGAAAGCCAGTATTTTTCATGTTTGGACGAATTTTGTTTTTGCAGCCTTTCGTGTAGAAGCTGCTTTCATTCTTTTCCACGACGAGTTGGAAAATGTTGCATATTAGCATTGTGAACCAAATATAATGCACAAATTCTNTTTTCCACCACCACCGCCACCACCGGGTTTACCCGATGGTCCACCCTGACCCTTGGTGCAGTTGCCATTGGTGGATGAATCGCAGCCACGGGTTTCATTGTGATGTGGTTTGAAAGTGCAGTTGCCAGATGTTTCGTTGCACCACTGATGGTGTCGCAAAGTGCAATTCTCGACGGTCGAATTGCAAAAATAGCCGAGTCCCTCACGAGTATGATTGTGCGAATGATTCCGGTTTGTTTCATTGCAGGGGAAAACTGTAATAAAAAAGAATGAATAAGACGACGAAACTGGTATATATAGGCAACTCCCAAATTCTTATAAAAACCCCCAATTTTTTGCTCTTCAGACAACGTATAAGTTATATCTTTTTAAAAAAAAATGGAAATGAGGGCGGATGCATTTCTGGTGAAAGCGCGGTTGTTCGAAATTTTTGGCATCAATTTTCTGTCTGAATCGATAATTTGAAAAAAAAAATTTACAATTCCAGGAGCTCATTTTCAAAGAGAAAAATCAATGAAGAGCCACTATATGCATGCTGCTGCTGGTTCCTTATTAAATTTTCTGCAAAACTCAGCATAGACATTTAATCAATATTTTTTATCAATGTCTATATGAGAGAGTCTTGCAGAAAATTTTGACACCACTCAGTCTTACACTCCTGTGTTTATTTGTTAGTTTATCTCCAAATTGAAAATGTATTTGCATTTTATTTAAAATACAGTATTGTACAGTGAATTCAAATGAATGGTTAAAAACAATTTCATTGATGAAAGATGATTCTTGATTAGTGTTTATGATACCTGCTGGTACCTTCTGTATATAAACTAGCAAATTTCTGTAAAATAATTCTGATCCTCTGATAATTCTCTAAAATAATATTGGCGGACTCTATCTATACAACTATTTGCTCTGTGAAGCAAATTCATTTGTTCGTTCTTCCCACTTTGATAGGGCTTCTTCTTGAGGAAATTCTTCCCAAAACGATTTTTTTTCTGGCCCCCTGAATTTTGTTATAAAGAGAGATCACCTGTGATAAATAATATTATGAATGTTTTCTTTGATGTGGTGTATTTCTTTTAGATTTTTGAATTTACGGTATTTTTAACACACAGTCTTTGTGATACAAACTTATTGTCTGGATTATTGTGCAGTACGGATGTCGTTGAATGGGTCACAGGGCAACCGTAGACACCACAATGTACCTCCTCCAGAGCCTTCTACAGCGGGAACCAGAGACAGTGGAGGACCGCCTCCGCCAACAGCTCGTAAGGGTCTACGTTTACCCTGAGATCCTCGACCTCCAGCACCAGAACCCGCCTGAACCGGGTTCTGTGATCCCTTCTGTTGGGGTTTGCGTTGTTCGGGTTTCCCGGTTTTATTGCCTCCTGACTGCTGCGAAAACGATTCATTGCCCATTCGCGATGAGTTCCCACCAGATTTTTTACCCCCATTCCCCATCATCATGCTAGATTCGTTCCTTTCTGATGATCGGTGTTGTGGTGAGCTGCTGTTATTCAGCCAGGTTTCATTCCAGTGCTTATTTGCTCGAGAGGAGTTGAGGAATGTGTCATTGTTATTTTTGTCGAATCGCAATTGATTCATCCTTCGTTCAGTGTCGTTATTGAGGGATGTTGATTCGTTGCCGAGTCTTTCGAGTCGGCTGCTGTTGAAGTGACGACTTTCATTGCCTAAAGGCTTTAATAACGACCTTCATAATAAGGCGCAAAGCAACCTTAAAGAAGCCAGTAGCCCGGAGCTCCTTAAAGGGCTTCAAGCTCCGTACAGGACCCTTCTTGCGTCACGGACTCGACAAGAAGGCCCTTGAAAGTCAGAGAATATTTTATTTTTTGACGTATACAGTGAGGCCCCGAGATGCGGACGTAATTGGTGCATCAGGAGTGTCCTGGTGTTGGAATGTCCCTAAGTTGAGTCTCATTTTCTCCTAGACTATCAATTGGTTCTCTTTTTTGTCAAAAATTAGAAATAAGTCCACAAAAAGTTTAATGCACTTTTTCCCCTCAACTTCAAGTTGTAGAAAACCACAGTGCAGAACAGACCAATATAATCTGATCTTTTGGTATCCAATTGGGATCGAACAGCAAATCAAATAAATAAGTGTTGCTAGCATGCACTCAGGTGATAGAAAAACTTTGAAAAAAATAAGCACAAAATCAGCTTTCTTTTGATTATGAATTAGAGTGAATTTAACATGAAATATTGTTAACAGTTTTGTGAATATAAATAGCTCAGTTTCTTCAAAATATAACAAAATTTAAAAAGAAAATAAATGCCTCGATTTTTTGGGGAATTTTCAGAAAAGTGTCCTTAACTTGAGCCAATGTCCAAATGTTGGCCCTTATTATCTTGGTTTTCAAATGTCCCTAAGTCAAATCGTCCGCATTTTGAGGTGTCCGCATATTGGGGTCTTACTTCAACAATAACAAAAAAGCTTGCATGGAATGAAGATCATCTATAATATCTTCGATTTTTTCAAGAGAAATTTCTGGTACAGTGCTTGATTTATTATTTCTTTAGCGTGAATTACATCATGGGTCACACTAAGGGCGACATCTAAGTCACGTATTTGCAGATATACACAATCACAAAGGGTCTCAAACCTGAGAAGCACTGTACAATATTGTATTTGAATTCAGGAACATAAGTTCTCATTGGACTTCCGATCGAAAAAACTTTTTGTACAACATTTTCTGTAAATTACCTTTTTCAGAACCAGGTGGAGGTCTTTTATCGCCACGACCTGGTGGTCTTTGCTCATGTCCTTGACCACCTGTGCCATTATTACTCATGTTGCCCCCAGGTAACAGGTTCCGAATGCTGCTTGTGTCATTCTGCGAAAAATTTTCGCGGCTGTGCCGCAAAGTTCCATTTTCGAATCCGCGAGTGTGGTTGAACGTGAGTTCGCCCAGTTCTGAGTTTCTGTTGAAGGTGTCATTGCTTCCGGGTGTTGGTGGAGATGGAAAGTCTGAGGGTTGAAAATTGCATTCAGTTGAAATTCAAGAAGAAAAAAACCAAAAATCTTCTTTTGGGCAACAAATTATTCATCTGTGTCAAATCAGTAATTGAGGTCGGGTATTTATTGTAGGTTTGATACCCTGCAAAAAAAAGACACGTCACCTGTCATGCATGGCGATTTTTTTCTTTGAAAAAAAAAAAAGATTCGTTCAGATGCTTTCGACCTTTTCCTGCTTTTAGGAAAACGAACTGCGTGAAAAATTATGGATACGGAAAAAAATCGAGTTCCGGGGGAAATTGTTGCCCAAGAGTCACGATTTAACTTTTCAAAATCATAAAGGATTTTTTTAAACTTTTTTCTTTCTCGCGTTGAAAAGGGTTTTCCCTCCATTTGTGAACGCATTCTTCTAATATTAGACGTGAAAACCGTCAATGGATTTATTCAACATATGGTTTCAAACTTTTCTCAGTATTTAAATGAAATGTCGTCTTATTATTTCATATGTACTGTATGTGAACGTTGAAAAGCTTTGACTGCACCTGGCATGGCTTCTCGTTTGACACGTTGGAACTCATCATCATCATCATCATTGTCTTCTTCAGAGCTGTTGTCGTCGGTCATGTTGCTCATGTAAGCAGCTGATTGAGAAGCAATGTTCTCCATCCACCAACTCAGTGATTTCCCTGAAGTTTGGTTCATTCGGCTGACCAAGGCGACATCTGGCGGGTGGTATCAAAAATCATTTTTTCCACAGGAAGCGGTTGCTGGAATACAGTATTACTGAAGCACTAATAATTATCAATTGTTACACACGGCAGGATTAATGCGAAGATTTGATGGTTCACATTCTTTGTCCACTTATCTTGCATAATTTTATTTTTTTCTCAGCATTTGTGACTGCTTTTGAAGATAATTTCAAGGAAAAGTTGCTCATGGATTAAAAAAAAACCTAATCATTTGCTGGAATCAAATCAAGTTTTTTGTTTCGGGGTTTTGTTATGAGGTATGCGTTTATCTATATATAACAAACAATTTACAAAACACATGAAAGTTTCACAGTGTAGTTCCCTATAAAATTATTTTTTGCATAGTTCCAAAGGGTTTTTTTGCGGATTTTTCCTTATGCAGATAAACAATTAATCTATCTGATGAATCAAACGTCAGAAAAGCACTTTTAGAAAATTGCTGGTATACAGTATATGCTATAGAATAATGTACAGTATATACATTTTGAATTTAACGAGATTTAGCAACTTTCATTTTGTAAGATAAATCTGATCCGCTTGGAAAATCCTGGTAATGAGAAACGCAAAATCTCCTATTGAAATATTTTATATCTTGTTGTTAAAAAGGAAGTAAAATTTCAGAAGTCTCAGAACCACGGATGAGGAGTCCAAGATGAAAATGTAGTTCAGCATTTTTTCAAACTTATCAATCAAATAAGATAACAAAATGCTGCAGAATTAATTGCTGGTCTGATGATCTCAGTTTTCAGAATAAAATTTTAAAATCAAGTGAATATGATCCTGAATTTCCATTGTGTGGCTCTGAGTTGTGTATACCTGGGTCTCATTTTCCCCTGGCACTCAGTTTTTCAGCGTTCAGTTCAAGTGTTGCTGTCAAGTTGCAAAAATATATATATATATATATAAAACTCACCGGAAATTTCAAGTGGGCCCATAACTTCCCTGCCACAATTGGTTCCACTGATTGGAAAGGACAAGGACATGACATCCCTTTGTCCAACTGCAGCAAAACGTGGATGAAGTAGCTGATCGCTGGTTAAAGAGTCCAGAGAAGATGTCGTTGTCCCATACTCGAGCACCACGTGGATCAGGGCCATGGTGCAATTGAGCTCCGTTGGTAATGTGGCCTCGGGGACTGTGTAAATCCAGGTGCGGGTTCCTGAGTCATTCCTGCTGACGATGTTGTTGCCTGACCAAGAAGAAAATACAGTGTTCATTTCCAAACGCAAGTGAGATGCAAATTTCAGATCATTTATGCAGTAAACATTATATATGACACATATACAAAGAACTACAATTGGAAATTGCAAATTATCAACCTCTTCAATTCGATTGCAAAGATAATCCCTTGCTAATTCCGACCGTTCACATGCAATTTATACCTCGTGAATTCAAAACTGTAGTCCAAACTGTGAGGACTTCATGCTATACAATTTTTGAATCAACAATCTTTCCACGCTCACACAATGCATTTATTTCAATTGTAATCCTCAGATAGATAAATTGAACATATTCGTAAGACTCAATCTTTATGGACACCAAAAACGGATAAAGTGGATCCTACGTATAAATTATGTATAGGCTAAAGAAACTGAAAATTTTAAATATTTTATTAAAAGATTTCATTTTATTAGTTGATTTTTGTGTTGATGGTTTTAAATGGAATTCGTCGTAGCAATCCGAGAAGTTGCGAATTATACAAAGGAATTTTTTTTGTATTGGTGATCCCAAGTATAAATTTAAAATTTTTTGCTGCTGCATAAAGCATTTTTCTGAAAAAATTACGCATAATTTATGACTGAAATATGCAATGTACACAAGGTCACTCAGGAACCTGTGGAATAAAAATTGCTTCAAACTAGAAAATGTCTCTAAATTTTTATTTTAAGATAAACTGTATTTTCCTTGGTGATAATAAGGGATGCCCTCTGGAACACTTAACTAGATTTCAGGGGAGTTGAAAATCCGAGGGGAGTAGAAAGTCTGCAAGACTTAATTTCATGATAGATTCGAAATTTAGCCAATGCATGTACTCACCTGATAATGAATTTGCTTCAACAACGGCTCTTCTTACAGCAGGCTTAACTGTGAAATCTTCCACTATCACCTTCAGTTTGTACATGCTGTCAATTGCTTCTGGTGCGAATGGAGTACCTCTCAGGACCACAGAAAAAGTGCGGTTCATGCAGTAGTCCTATAAAAATATCATATCCAACGTATAGAGAGTATTCATAAATTTCAAGAAAAAAATCAATTTGATTGAACGAAAGCGGATAAGACCTGGATCTTTTTAGTTGACGGGTAAACGAATAATGCCGTGGTATTCAATTCGCAAACGACGTCATCCAAGATGATCATGGATGCCGGTGGAGGTGCTTCAAATTAAGAAAAAAAGTATTGGTTAAAAAATTTTTTTCGAACAACCTGCTGGACTTTAATTGGACGGTTTTTGATTTGTACTCACGGGAAACAGCAAATGTTTGCGTCAAGAAGCCGACCGCGAATGAAAAGGCGGCTAAAAAGATTTTTTGGCCTGCCATTTCCATGAAAGGTGTACCGGTAAATGTTGAAATCGTATCACAGTCACATTCTGTAATCAAAGAGAATGAAGAGCTAAGAATTCAATTTCGAAAATCAAATAAATTTGAGCTTATAGAATTTTTAAAATAAAAATTTAAGCCAATGTCGGGGCTGGTGGAATTCTAAATTCGATAAACTGTACATCAGCAGAATTATTTCCAGATTCTATAAACGGAATCACCTTTGAATGATTTTGGATTTATTGGGACTTTGCTGACCAATTTAGATTATTCTTAACCCTTGGACAGCGGAGGGTTCTTTCCCATAGCGGGACAGAGTCGGATTATTTTTGTATCCTCCAGAATTTTCACTTTTGGGAAGGTCACCAAAACTCTTCCAGGTGGGCTGAGGCAAAGTTGGGATTAATCCAAAAAAAAAGCCAGTAGCCTAACTTAAAAAATTTTTTTTGCTTGCAAAATTTTTCTGTGTTCAGAGAAAAAAGCATCAGGATTTTTCCCGACTTTGCCCTTGACTACCTGTTTTCATTTTTTTCCAAACTTCTCTGAGGTGCCACAAAATTTTGCAAAAATAGTCCAACTTTGCCGCACAAGGGTTAAATGGGATAGAACCCGTAGTCATCATTGGGTTGCACAGTTCTCAGTTCTTTACTTTGGGTGTGTTTTTTCTTTGTGGAATTATGATGAGTATTTTGTCCATAAAACACCAATTAAAAATTGTATCATGTAAGTCTACGGGAAAATGAGACTCAACTTGAGGGCATTTGGACTTGGTGACACTCTGGATGCACCAATTATGTTGACATCTTGGGGTCTCACTGTACTGTACAGCAAGCACTTACAATTCTGTCCACAAAATTAAATCGTCCCTCTAAAGCCTTTTATATCACATTTTATTTTCTGAAAATATATTTATAAAACTGGACGAAGGCGTTTAGCAAAGGAAGCCGTCCGTCTGGACACTGACGCCATCGATCCATTCCGTCGGCAAGAAAAGCGAGAATGCTCGTGATATGGCCTATGAAATTCGAGGAAAATATCAAGAAACATGGACAGCATTTCGTATATATATACTATAGCAGGTCATGGGTCAAATGACTCAAATGTGAGGTCCGTTGCTTAGCAGCACTCCATGTCCACTTCGAGGTTTTGTGGCGCATTTGCGTGCGGGATAACTTATATACCGCCAATATTCGTACTAAACTCGCTATACTCTGTCGTTGACCTTAATGTGGCAGAAGCTGTTGTCCTTGCTTATTATCATCCCTTTGATAAATATCGGCCCCGAATTCAGTTTACGACGCATTTCTGCAATCATGTCCTATGTTTTTTTTTGTGCTGCGGAAATTTGCTATGATTACATGAAGCGAGAAATGACAAAATTGATTTTGAAAATAAACGACTTATTCGCACATTCGAGACAGGAATGAGCTGTTGAATTCTGATGTACGTTCACAGTATATTCGACTACAATAGTGCAGAATAACATAATATGTAATCATAAACATGATCCAAATATGGATCATATTTGTGTTGATATATGCATATCAACACTGCAATTTCTATAAGTGCCTATAATAAGTGACCTATGTTCAACAAAGCAGCACTTATGGGTAATTCCCAATGTGCAACACAATTGCTTCACTATATTGTTATCCCAAACTGTCAGATGTTATAAGAAATGCAAGATTATGCATCAAATGTCTTCTTTGCATAGTAACCCATTATTCTAACCTGATGATTCCTTGTTGGAACAACCTAAGTTGAGAAGTATTAGTCTTTATGGCCAGGGTAAAAGCAAGTAAGTTTACTTCTCTGGCTAGTGAATATGCATATATTTTGTATACTTTCAATACAGTCCAGACCAGTAATGAGAGTCAAAAGAGTGTTTGGACACTCTTTTATAGATTCCAGATGGGCAAGACAGGTGACTGACTGTGCATGCACAGAAAGCATAGAAAGGAAACCTTGTCATGTGAATGACTGGTCACCTGACACTGTTGCAACATTCTGGTACACCAATTCCAGTGCATTGCTAGGTGGACCACAGAATACAAAAGTCATATCAAGAACAGGGTATTCCTAACATGTTCTGGGGCTCACTAAAGAGATGATGATGATAATATTCATATTAAAAAACAGCACTGAATGACTGGTTTTAAATTGAAAAAGTTACAAAGGCATGGACTCTAACATAAATGTATTGGGTATACATGTTATCAAGAATTCTAATACATGTATCCAAATAATAAGGAATTTTAATACATGTAAGAAACAGGTACCCAAATATTATGGATATGGAAGATCAGTCCTTTTGGATACCTGAAAAATTCGCAAATCAGACTTTTTGAAATTTTGCATAATTGAGGCTTTAATTGTTTTTCTTTAGTTTTTTCATCCCTTTGATATTAATTTTTACTACATTTTCTTGCCATAACAAAAATTTCACTAGAAGAAGCAAAAATTCCTACTACAATAAATTGATATATCAGATATATTGTCATGGATTATAGACCAATTTAATTTTAGTATTTTCCTCTGTTCCTGTATATTACTACTTTTTGAAAATTATCAATTCAGTTTTGGAAGGCTCCATTGAAGAATATGAAAGATTCCGGAGGACGAAAATTCAGCTTTGGCGTCGCAGTTTATAAAAAAATTTAGTAGATTAAAAAATTAATCTAAAGGGATGAAAAAACTAAAGAAAAACAATTAAAGATGGGGAAGGTTACTACTTACCTAACTAAATTCTCTTCACTGCGAATACTGACCCATGTCTACGTACCAGGATCCCCCACCCTCAGAGCTTTAGCGGGATCTTGGAGTTTTTGGATCCGCTTTTTTATTGAGGGGTGGGTTGGGATTTGATTCATTTGGGACAGTGAAGAGAATTAAGTTAGGTAAGTATAGTAACCTTCCCCAGGCTAACGGTGCCCTTGCCTGGGGGTTCGTTACTCCACCCTAACTAAATTCTCTTCACTGCGAATCTTTAGAATCGGATTCAAAAGTCCAAGATTTTCCAACATGTTGTGTACTAAAAACTTTTGACAGTTTATTAACTTAACGTGTGAGAACAAATTTTATGTTCGTGAAGAAAGAAGCTGTTTTCCCAAAGTTTCGGCGGAAAAACAATTTTATTTACACTTCACAAAAACACAGCTGCAGCGTCATAAAACACTCGTCACTGTTTTTGTGTGATTTCGCGATTTTTTTGCAAGCTCGAGTTTGCGTTGCAATTGCGTCCCCGGGGACAAGCACAGTCTTTCTCTTCCTGCTCTTGACTTTTTTATTGCTCGCATCCGGTTGTAAAACTAAAGACAAACTTTGAGAAAATTGCGCCATCAGGTCTATTTTTGGCCCTGTTAGGGGCGTGCGCCGGGATGTGCCAGGGGTGCAGCTGCTGCTTGGAGTAGGGGGATCCATGAGATTTTGCCCCCTCTTGATCAGCTGTCTGTTGTAGTGTTTTTGAAAAGTTGTTTCCGTTTTCCATCCCGTCAATTTAGCAATGGAGTCAAAGGACCAATTTTTGGCCCAGGCAAAACTGGCAGCTGCAGATCTAGTTGAACCTGGTGTGTCGGTAATTCCGATTTCTGCCAGGATTTTTATGAGCCATTGACGAAGAGTGGCTTTTTGCACTCTTTGCCCGTTATCTGCCCGGACGAAAAGAAACGGCGATCTCGCTTTGAAATTAGTAATATTCACATAAATTTTTACAAGATTAATTGGACATATACGAGGGTCAACTGTATATGGTGCCAAACAGATTCCTGTCCTGGTCTGCTGTGTCGCCAATGATGTTTTTTGATTTTTGAGAAAAGGGATGAATAAATCATTTCCTTCTTGCCAGAAATTCTTCCCCAATTTTGACAAGTCGTCAACTTGCAGTCCTGTTGCTAGTGCAAGAATGAGCAAAGTTTCTTTTGCTCGCTCTAGTATTGACAACGGTATTGGGCGCTGTTGTATGTTTCTTAGTGCAATTTCAGCATCCCAGACTGATGTTTTTGGCTCAAAATTTTTTGTGTTCCACTTGGCCCCTTTCATAAACCTTTCCAGCTTTTCTTGGTTTATGATATTTGCACAATTATTGTTGGCTAGCCACTGAGTAATTGCTGCCCAAATCTGGCGTATGTATCCAAAGGAGTATTTTTGCGGGATTGCGGTATATACAGCCAAAAACTGCAGGACCGTTTTGGATGTTATCGTATTTACATTTTGTCCATTTTGTCCTGCAAATTTTTGAAATTTCTCGACAATTCCCTGGTATTGTTTTTTGGTCGTCTCTGCTCTTGTGGCGTTAATTGTTTGCTGCACGACTTGATCTAATTGTTGTGCAGAAAAAGAGATGCTTGAAGCATTGCTTTTTGCAGATGATGACATACTGTGGGATTTTGAGGTAAATTCAGGGCGGTTGATAGATTTGGAAGGTCCAGGTAAGATGTCCTGTCCTTGAGGAGTTGTGGCCACTATGGTTGTGATGGCCAATTTGGGTTATTAAAATCCCTGACGCCTTGTCTTGTCTGATCTTTTGGATTACCCTGGTTAATAGCGCAAAAGGTGGGAAGAAAAATCCAATTTCATCATTCCAATCTTGTATTAGCGCATCCGTGTCGCATGCCTCAGGATGAAAATACCATGTACAAAAACGCGTCAATTGGGCATTAATGGTGGTTGCAAACAAGTCCATAGTAGGAGATATGTTGAAATGCTGACATATGTCATTAAAGATGTATGGTTTTAATTGCCATTCTGCGTCTAAGTTAGTAGCCTCATATCTTGAGAGGATGCGGGTTAGTTCATCTGCCGGATTTTCTGCTGAAGGTATATAAATTGCTTTTGCCGTAGCTTGATGTGATTCTAGACAACGCCATAAATTTCTTGCTTCAGTATCTAGCCTGTTTATCATTCCTCCGCATTTGTTAACATAGGCCACTGCTGTTGTATTGTCCACTCGAAATAGTATATGTGCTTTTTTGAAGTTGATTCCCTTTTCCTGGAAAATTTTGAGTGCGAGTTGTAATACTCTTAGTTTGAGTAAGTCGATTGTATCTTCGTCATTGATCCTCCATGTCCCTGATATTTTGTTTTTTCCCAGTATTGCTCCCCATCCCCCTTGGGTGGAAGCATCTGTTGTTATTTTATGGGATATCTTCTGCAATATAAAGGATTTTTGGCATTGCTGTTGTAATTTTTCCCACCACTGTATTTCTTTGATAAGTGTCAGTGGCAGGGTGATCTTTTGATCCCAGTCCGTGATTGGTTGTTGTAGTGTCATCTTGACTTTTTCAAAGGGACGGAAGTGTGCGTCTCCATATGGTATTGCTGGTATGCAGCTATGGAGAAATCCGAGGATCTGTGCATATTTTTGGAGTATGATAGTCTCTTGGCGTATACATTTGTTCCGGAGGATCTTGAGATCTGCCATCAATCTGTTGTATTTTTTCTCTGGTAATTCCAAGATTTGTAAATTGCTATCAATAATAAATTCAAGATGTTTTCTTCTAGTATTTGGTACAAGGCGGGATTTTTCTTGGTTTATTAAAAATCCTGCGTCCAGGAGAAGTTGTTGACAAACTTGAGTTTGGTTTTGGCATTCTTGGAAGTCTGATGAAATTATAATAGTATTGTCTATATACGCATGTACCCGAATGCCTTGCTGTTGGACAATTTTAAGCAGTGCCTTCATAATGATCGTAAATAGGCGGGGTGCTTCTCTTAGTCCCATGGGTAATGCTGTGAAGGTATATATTTCATCCTTCCATTTAAATGCGAAATATTTTTGATGGTCAGGGTGCAGTGCCACATTGTGATATCCTTTTGTTACATCAATTGACGTCATAAAGTCTCCTTTTTGTATTCCCTGGAGTACTGAATTTAGACTCTCCATTTTAAAGTGTTTGTAAGGAACACATTCCTTATTAACCGCTTTGCTGTTGAGTATGAGTCTGTGGGATCCGTTGTGGTTTTTTCACCGCAAATATAGGATTGAGTATGAGATCCTCGTTCCATTGCTGTATTTTAATGACCTTTAAGCAAAGGAGATCCTTAACTAGGTTATCTGTTGCAGCAATATCTTCTTTTGATTTTATTTGATGATTGCTCCGAGATAGATGAGTTGGCGGTAATTTGAGGAAATCAATTCTAACCCCTTGTATCATTTGTAGTATCCAAGGATTGTTTGTCACTTGTTGACGCCAGAAATTTAAATGATACCGGAGGCGTCCTCCCACGATATTATCCGGAATATGACTGACCTTTAATTGCGTTTGACATGCCAATTTGTCCTGCCCCTGTAATTGTTCTGGGGCTGTTCGTTGTTCTGGCGACGGAACTTGTTGGGTTGGCCTTCCCCCAAAAAACCGACCTTTGTTAAAACAGGAACGACAAAACCCATACCGGAACAAGACTTTCCGACTACCGGAGGGGCCTGTGAACCACTGAAAGGAGAGGTTAAAACCCAAAAAACCTTTCAAACGTCGGAATTACGTTGGTCCGCTTTCACCAATTGTTCAATCTCCTTGACCAATTCACCATTGGAGAGATTCACCCAACTTTCACCAAAGGATTGCGTGGGGATCCTATTATTTGGAACGCCGCGCGTACATTTTCATTTGCCTTATTCTGCTCATTTTTCTTGCGTTCCTCCTGCAGCATCATATATGCATTTGCTAATGCTTTTAAGGTGCTGCCCATAGTGTCGCAAAGCATTTCATTCAGTCCTTCATCAATAAACACTTTTATCAATCCATTATTTACGCACATGAGCATGGATTGAATTTTTTGGAGCATTGTGTCATTCACTCGCGCCGATTTCGTAAGCGTATTCCACAGTGGGTGATTTATCCTGGGCACTTTCCCAACCACTGTGTTCCCAACCGGTGGGAGGATCTTAGCAAACTCGGTGACAATCTCCTTCCGAGTGCATTGGGACATTGCGTTTTTGTATATTTTTTCCACCACTTTCTTTGCAATGTCCCCAAGAACACAAATAGGTTCTCTTTCCTGCAGAGCCGGTAAAAACCTGGCTAACGTATCGTTTCCATCACGTATTTCTGCAGCAGGTGCAATCTCCTTGTGTTCAGCCCACAAGGGCTGCACTATTTCCAAGGGCTTCTCCAATGGTTTGCCCTGGATGAGTTCGTCTATTGCATCTGTACCCGATAGACAAACTATATATTAGTATTTTATTAACTTTTTTTCTTGCCTTCTGGAATAGGCAATTCGGCGAGCTATGATTTGTCATCACTGATGTGGTGATTTTCCAAGAATGATTTGCTCATCATTTTTTATTTTATTTCCTGAAAGTATATAATATATATTTTGATCACTGGTTTTCTAGTCTCACAAAAGGTATATCAGCCTGAATTGGTACACATTTGTATGAAAGTCTAAGGTTGACTACCCTCCGCAAGGGGTATTCCCGCGTTAGTTGTTGCTCCCGCAAGGTTTAGATGGGTTCTGAGGGTGGGGGATCCTGGTACGTAGACATGGGTCAGTATTTGCAGTGAAGAGAATTTAGTTAGGGTGTAGTAATGGCTATAAATTTAAAAAATCATTGAAATGACATGAATCCAATCGAGAAGCGCAAAAATGTTCCTGTATGAGTGTGTAATGTGGCTAGACAGTTTTTCAGATTTTCAAGAAAATACACACGTAGTCACTTTCAAACTCATGGACCATCCAGAATAAAGGCACATCATTATTGACTGCTCAAATTGATTGATAAACAAGCTTCATTTTCTACTTTTCAGTGTTCACAAGGTTCGTATTATGTTCCCACACATCCAAACCCCCTCCCCTCCTCACCCACATCCATCACATCAAGATGTAAAATCAAGAGAAATAAGCTATGTATGGGTCTTGCCAGAAAAGAAAACGCATCACAAAGTGTAAAAAGGCACGAATGATCTAAATGCACCCCCCCCCCCGCCCACCAAAAAATAAAATATCAGTAATAAAATTAAAGCATTTTTAATAAAATTACAATAGCAAGGATAAAATTACCATGCAAATTTAAGTAAAGTTTGAAAAAACGTATGCATCACAAAACTTGTTTCCGCCTCAGCCCAAAAAGTCCTTTCCGAAGTTTGCCGCCTTCGTGGATTCGTTCGGAATTTTTTTCTGAATTTTGTTATCTTGTCTAGAAAAAAAAACCACCTTGTATGAATAAAATGAGGTCTTCTAGGTGGAATCCGTTTTATTACTCTCTTGTCGAGTTTCCGCACCTTGAACCGGAACGTGACCGGTCAGAATCTGAATATAAACAAAAAACTAAAAAAAAAAGGGTGAATTTGTCGACGCGATTTCATGGCCCAGCAGCTGTACAGGAACGCAGCAGACCAAAAATTGTCGTTGAACCTTCAATGAAGCACATTATAGGAACCATTTGCGTTCAAGTAAAAAGACATTGATTCCAAAAAGCACCTGCCATTTTAAGTTTCTCAAAAATCGAAGCACTTTCGCGTACCAACAAATACCGGATAAAACGCACTTTCACTCATTTCCGTTCCTGAATTCATGTCTTCCGTTTGTACGCGTGAACATTTTTTATACCATCCTGCAAAGCCTAGAATATGAATATTCTCATACTTTGGGGGGGGGGGGGATATTTATGAGTAAAAGGTTGAAAAGTACTGCATCGCAAATTCCTCCGAAGCTGGGCCGAATGCTTCAAGAGGTTTATTTTTTCGAATTTTTTTCACGACTCCATCTTTGCTGCAGGATATTCCGCGTAAAATGTGTGATCATGCGATGTTGGAAAGCATCAACAAAAGGCTGCATCCCGTTGTGTACAGTGAGACTTCATTATAATGCAGGAATTCAAATTGTCTCTTAAAATAATTCCACAAGAGAATTGACGACGTGATCAAATATAAAACCCGCACATATTTTAAGCTTTTTTTGCGCGTGCATGCGCAAAACGGTGTCCAAAATCCGATTCTGACATTATTTCCTACAAATTTAAGCGATCAGTCAAGTTTTTTTCCTCTTTCTCTCTCAAGAAAAACTATATTTATCTTCCACACCAGCAATGAGATGGAAATAGCGAAAATGCCCCGTGTTCGTAAATCAAGTAGTGAGAACACGGTTCTTTGGACTAAACGAACGGTGAACTATTAGTGCAGTACAGAAAAAACTTAACGGAGCGCTTGAACTCTAAATATAAGAGCAACAGACCCGAATATAAAAAACATCACGGCCACCAAACAACTGCTTATAATTCCTAGATTCAAACGGGACATGCTTCTTTTTCACGGGCCATTGCGTCCAGGTTTTCGGTTCCATCCACTCGCAACTGGATTCTCAAAAGGAAGAGTTTTATCATCCATATTTCCTTTCCAAAATAAATTAAAACTTGGTTTCCGGAGACGTTAAATAAGGGGATTTGAAAGTCGTGAAATGATCGGCTTCGAGCTTAAAAAGGTACGGTACTCATTCATCAATAGCTTTTTGTACCGCGTCGTAGAAGAACTTGGTTTTTTTCTGAATTCTAGTGACTGTTCCGTCCGTGGTTTTCATAATTGTCTTTCAAGCCTTAATTACAGTATAGTTCAAAAATGTGGATAAATATTCCACAGCTGACCTACTTCCAACTAACGCTCATTTGAAAGCATTGATGAAATTTTGAATGCTCTAATTGAATTGTTTCATAACTCAAAAGCTGCTTTTGCAATTTCTCTTCTACTTCCGCGACTTACTACTGGGTTCGGCGTTGTTATCACTAATTTTTAAACTCATGCAATTCACTTCTTCTGTCCAATTTATCTATTCCGGGAAATCCCTTGAGATGCTGGCTTGCCAGCACTGAATATAGTTCAACTTTTTCCGGGTTGTGAAATTATTTAACCCATGATCGTCCTGACGTGGAGCCTATTTTTCATGCATTTTAATTTGAAGAAGTGAAAGGCTGTCTTTGTGTTTTTGAATGTTTCGATGCTTTTAAAATGTCAATGTAATGTGCTAAAAGACAGTCGGACCTCTTCAAGTTGAATTTCAAGGGACCAGCAAAAAAATTCGAGTTAGAGATGTTTTGAGTTAGGAAACAAAACATCAAGGGAAAGAAAGACCATTAAACATGGAATTTAAATTGGTGATATTCTGGACCTTAAATTGCTTCCTAAATGAGTTGACAAAATTCGGCACTTGGAGGCAAGGGTTTATTTCCCGAATTATTCTTTCACTTCCTTTCAATTTATATTGTTGCATCCCTTTCTCATTCCTGTGTCGAAAAAAATTAGCAGCCAAAAGGCCTGTAGAAAATTTGAGTTATGCAGGATTGAGGAGGAAAGCCTTTGTCGAGTTATATAGGCCAGGGATGTTTTTTAAGGCATTGTTTTTCTAAGGTATTGTTGTCAGGGAATTCTGACGAGGAATTGGGAAAAAGCAAGCTTTAGGGAGGTTTTGATTTGGGGAAGTTGGATTTACCGTATTAAACTGTATTGAAATTCAAATAAAAAATATGCCCGTTCGAGTTCTAGCCAAAAAGTGTTGAATATTCAGCAATGCAAGAATTGACTATCTTGTTCGTATCGGCCTTTTGCAGGGACGACTGCAATTCGACGATGGAGCGACGACGACGTTTGAGTATCCTTCGGAGAAGAGTTTGGCCGAAGAGATTCGCATTGAGAAGTTGGCGCAAACATCGAGAAACGCGCCAATTTCGTCGATGAACGGAGATGCGGATGAGGAAGGGAATAGTCACAGTGTTGCCATGGTGAACAATGATGCTGGTCAGCTTTCGTCACTTCCGGACAAGAATACAGGACCGACAGAAAACCGGCCACTCAGTCCCGGAATGCATCAGCTTGGTAAACGTTCTTTTCTAGTCCTCATTATAATTTCAAATCATTCTACTTGAGTATAGAAGTACCGTACACATAATTTAAATACAGTAACACATTCGAAGGTAAAAAAATAAGGGGGAACCCCAGATAATTCTCGCCTTTTCAAATGTAATCTTTCGGACCGTTTTCGGCTTCATCACGGCTACAATCGATTTACAAAGCCTGATTAAATTGCCATATTCGCGATAATTTAATTTATGCTATTATAGTTACAAGCATGAGCAGCAGTGATGTGCATTTAGGAGAAAAACCTTGGAGAAATAGTTTTCGCGCGCTTTCTTGAGAATATTTTATTGGGGATTTTTTAAAGGATGTCCTTGTTATGCGTGCCTTGGGGTAGATCGAATAAGCCTTTCTTTGGGCTAAAATGTCTCTTACAGGATAAAGCGATAAATATGATTGCGTTCTCATAATGATTCATAAATTTTCCAACTATTTCCCCGTTTCAGTACAGCAAAAATAGAAGAATTATGCTTCTAATATGTTTTCCAGAACGCGGACAAGAAGCCAAATAGGAGATGAAATTTTGTTTGAAAAGCAAATGAAATTGTTTCGTTTTGTTTAAATAAGTCCATGTCACCGGACAATTAAAACTTGTTTTCCTCTTTGATCGGGAATTTAAGTTCAAATTGAAAACACGATAATTTCCAGCTATGT